TTTGGTGACATGCTCGGCCTCTTCTCTCTCTGTCGTGTACTAACGCGGAGCCTCTCGCTTTTTCCCCAATCAGGGCTTTGATATGAGGCAGGCCGGGTCACCCCCCCCCCTGTATTTCATGTCTGACCCACAGGAGCAGGAGTTGAATGGCCGCTCCTGTCCGCAATTCCTCGGTGGGGAAAAACACACGTAGACATTACAAGGAGCTCTCTTGTTGTTGCTCTGTGTGAAGGCATTCCCACCTGTGAGTGGGGCTGGCTGTTGGAGGGATGTGTGAAATATCAGTGTGAGAGGGCTGCAGGCTGGGGGGGAGCCCGGAGGGGGGGGGGGGGGGGGGGGGGGGGGGGGGGGGGCATATCGGAGGGACGGAGTCGTGCTAACTCTGGGCTAACATTTAATAAAATATCAAATTGACTGAATATGGTCAAAATGTGGGTGAAACCAGGTGAAGTACCAGGTGATTATGTAACATTTTGTTTCCTAGCCTTGATTCTCATGAGCCACGTATTAAAAAATAAAAGAAAAAAACGTCTCCAGATCGAAGACTGCACTCAAACCAAGCAGAATATCACAGCTTCTCTGGTCAAAGTCTGCTGCTCCTGTGATGTGATGTGATGTTATATAAATATTTTTCTTCTTTTTTTTTAACATCAGTCTATTCATTTCATCAGCCTTGATGTCTTAGAAATGTCTTTTTAGCCCCGCGCTGCTCCTCGCAATCAGATGAGGTCACTGCCGTGCAACAGACTCAAAGGAATACGCCGTTTTCACTTTGATTCGTGACAAAACCCGCTAATAGCAGTCAGTTGCCGAGCGGCGTCCGTGTCAAAGGCAGCTGGAACGGTTCCATCAGCTGGAGAACGTCTTCTGACTGGGGTTAATGGGAGTGGAGTGGAGAAAGGAACAGCGGAGGACGCAGGAGGAACCGAATAAAGAACTTTTCAGCTTGGATTTCTCAGAGTAATGTAGGGTCAGAAAACCGGGGTCAGAGCCGCAGTGACACCCTTATCTGGCACGTGTTTGTGTGTGTGTGTGTAATCTGCTCCGAGTGGCTCGCATCATGTCTCATTTCAGCACGGAATCACAGGCAAAGGTCAGCATTTGACCTTTTCACAGCTCAGAATCGCTGCTGCACACACGCTGATTAGTGTACACAAAAACTGACAGAGACGCACACTGGCCGAGTACAGCAGAGAGGGAGGAAGAAAACAACAACAACAACAACAACAACAACAACAACAACAACACAACCCTGAGATTGGACAACACACCTCCTGTTTGTAATCCCGGCCAACGGCACAGTTTCCAAACACAGTGAGTCTTGGATCCAGAATCAAAGACCCAGACCGGCGTTCTCTGCTGTTTGAATCCACTCCCTGCCTCTCTGATATTCTGTTCCTCTCTAGAATTCTCCCACAGTCGATCAATGCACAAATCACTCTGTCCGTCTGCCACCGGGGAATTATTTTGGAGTGTAAAATGTCATGTTTTGTTTTGTTTTTAAAGATCAATATTGTACAGTTGGACTAATTACCAGAACTGGAAACAAACGGGAGGAATTCTTTGTTATATGTAGCATTGAAATATATATGAAATATATATATATATATTTATGTGTGTGTGTGTATATATATATGCATATATAAATATATATAGGTGTTTAAAAATAAATACACCTACATACATATAAACACATATAAATATACATACATACATACATACATACATTTATATTTATATATATTTAAATATATACATTTAGGCCAGGGGTGTCCTCTTTTTTTTTTGGCCCAGGAGCTACTGTTGAAATGACCAGGCCAAAGTGATATACCTATTGTTGAAAATTATAAATATATATTTACTCATATAGACTGAACATACTTTACTTATGAATACAAAATCAATATAAAATAATTTCTTACAGTGTAAGGGAACAACAACAACAGAGTGGAGTCGTCTCTCCTCAGGTGGCTTCGTCTACATCTACAAATATTTGGTCAAAATAATTAAAAAATATATATATTTATTTCTATATTTCTATATCTTATTTATGCCTGCAGCCAAAAGAGTTTCAACAGCTGTGATTTACCTCTGGGCCACAGCTCTGTTTGGTTTCATTTTTATTTTAACGGTATCTTTCTCACTCTTCAGGGACAGAGGAAATGATTTCTCCGGCCAGTCAAAAAAAAATAAAAAAAATAAAAATATATATATATATATATTGTCTGTCTAATTTCAGATGAATTGAAAGTAGCCGTGGGAACGCCGGCCCTTGTTCATTAAAAGCCAGGTTTTCCTGTCGAACCTCGTTTCCTGTTCCACGTCCAACTGTAAGACTGTGATGTGAATGTAAAACGTCTGAGAGCGCGGCGCTTATTAGCAGACGGAAAAGAACGGCTTTAGTGGCTCTGTAGTGCGATGGCGAGCAGACAGGAACCAGGAGGAGGTGTTGGACCGCTGCCTGCTGTGTTCCTGGGACATTAAAAAAATGTCGCACGGCTGCAACACGTGGGATGAAATGCTTGATTATAGGTTGAGACAGCGGGACGCAGCACCGGCGCCGCGGCCGCTCGACGCTCAGCTCTTGTTTTTTTGTGGCGTTAACAAGCGAGTGTGCTGATTGAACCGTTTTCCTCTGTAAGTAGCACGCGCGCATTACAATTACAAACAGAAGGAAAGCGGCTCGCTGCGACGGTTGGCATGGCAACCAAACCTGGGATTCAAACAGGTGAAACGAGCCATGGGAGCCAATCAGGGGCCGCGGGCTCTGTTACCTGTTGCACAGATGTCGGCGAGGGTCGATTACTGTGACATCATCGACGATGATCAGAAAGACAACATTACTGTCGTCAAACGTCAACACGGACGGACCTGGACGTCAGCTCTGTGATGATGGAGGAGGTGGTGTTTGTTCACCGGGGCTGCACGACACGTGTGTTTGTGTTTCAAGACAAAAACGCATGCGCGCCGAGACGTTCACTCAGTATGAAAATGACTGTGTTAACACTAATGATTTATTTATTTTTTTTTTGACAAGCTGCCTTTGTGTTCGCGGCCCGGCCATTTGTCTTGATGTGCTCCATATTCACGGCTGTGTAAAAAGGAAGGTTTGACTCCGTAATCACTGTACGTCTGCCTCAGCAGATGAAAACACAGCGCTGCCAAATGGAAATCAACCGCTGCAGATGCTAAATAAGTCGACGCTAATGGACACTAAAGTGTCTACTCTGAAAAAAAAAAAAAAGGATGTTGGGAAACATGGTTGACCCCGCTGTAGTTGTTGTTGTTGTTATTGTTGTTGTTGTTGTGACTCATCCAGTGGAGCTTCCTAAAATACTAATATGTCTGATCTGCTCAGTTCTTTTCAACAAGACTTCTGTTCTGACAGTGACTGTTAGCAGCAGCTAGCGCCGCTAGCTGATGATGATGATGATGATGATGATGATGATGATGATGATGATGATACAAACTGAGCTTTGACAGCTTTTAAAGTAGTGATAATTTGTGGGATTAGAAAACAGGAAAAGACACCGTGAGACAAAAAGTTCCAAGACAGACAGATACCGTTTCCAACAATTTCATATCCAACAGACGACTAACGTGAAAAGTGTCCTGAACGATATCTACAAAAATACATTATTCTCCTGAAAATAGAAAACTGAGCTGCAAGTATTTTTACATTTCCGAAGCACAAACGTCATGTCTCTAACACGGACCCTTTTTTTTCCACTTCTATCTTCTCTCCTCTCTTTTCCTGTCTTGTTCTATCTGATCTGTCATTTCCTGTCCACTTCTGTCGTAATCTCTCCGAAACATCCCTCCCCCTCCCTCACCCACTCCTCCATTTGTTCCGCTCTGTTTGAGTCTAGGATCCTGCTCTCGGCCGGACTCGCTCCACACCGAGTGGATGGGAAACACATGGGCCGCCGTCACTTAGCTGGAAAACAACCGCCGCCTTTCAGCCTCTGAAGAACCCTCCTCCAGAACCCTCCTACAGAACCCTGCTGGAGGACATGGAGAATGTCCGCTGGGACAAAAGTTCCGATCCGTATCTGCAGACCAGGAACTGTTTGGACTGACGTGTGTGTTACCTGTCATACAGCGTCAACATTCAACTGCTGTGAATGAGTACAGTGTGTAGCAGCCGTGTGGTTGAACTGTGACACAGCCATAACAGCTGAAGCTAATCCAAGGATCGTAAACACTGCACCACAACTAACTAACTAACTAACAGATAACTAGTGTAACTACTGCGACTGATTAGCTGTAGCTGTTAGCTGTAGCTGTAGCTGTTAGCTGTTAGCTGTAAGTCTTTGTTATTCCATATCGACACACCAATCTGTTCTTACATATTTATTTGTGAGAATTTAAACATTCATTTCTTTTGGTTTTGACTAATAGAGATTTATGGCTAACATTTAGCCGACTAACGAAGCTTAGGCTACTAGAAGAATTACTTAAAATAATATGCTATAATTTGTAGATAAGATTTAGCCGTTAGCTCGCTAATAACACTGTAAAGTGATCGTAGTTAATGCTAGATTCTCCCTTATACTTATTAGGAATGACTCGATCTGATACTCAGGATCGGTATCGCTCCGACATTAGTCAATATTTTTTCGTAGCCCATTTGATCCGATACCTAAGCCCAAATGCTTAACTTAACTTTGCGCAACATGGCGTGAACATGGACACCATCGACCCAGCGACAGCAGAGGAGAAAACAAGGCCATCCCTTGCATTTACACCGACCTTCCATACGGTGATGCTCTTGGGGGGGGTGGGGGGGTGTATGTGTATCTGTTCGTACCTGTGGGGGCAGTGGCGGTCGAGGCTGGAGGTAAGCGCTCTGGTTGGGGCCTTGAGGTGTGGGCTGAGGGGGGCTGAAGTACGGAGGCGTTCCCTGCTGCTGCTGCTGCTGCCCCTGCTGGCTGTAGCCCCCCAGCACCTGCTGCCCGTAGGGCGCCACCTGCTGAAAGACCAAACAGAGTTCATCAGTTGAGAACCGACGCTGCAAAATGAATCAGTGTAAATCAGAGTGACGACAGACGGTTGGTGGGGTCGTTACAGCAGGTGGCGTCAGATGAACCGTTACGTACAGAGACAGACACGTCCCCTGAGTCCAAACGACGGTTAAAGTCTATAATTTACCCCAGACTGCCCTGGTCCTGGTACCGGCCTCACAACAGTTCCAGCCTAATGACCTCACACTGAAACAAACAAAAAAAAACCTCTAACTTTAGATTTTCCGTTTGGCCAAACTCGTCCCCCGCCCCACGTGGCTCAGCTCCCAGATGGAATGAGGTGCGTTGGATATGACTGTAACCCAAATGAAGGACACATGGATGATCCTGACACATGGATGATCCATTCCAGACCGACACAGGAAAAAGGGGCAGAGCCAACGTTGCGTTAGACAATGGTTACGACTTAAAACTAAGGCACGGGGGCTGGATGCGGCCCGTTCAGGTTTGTAATCCGGCCCGCCTCACTTGTCCAAATGATATAATTGGTTTGTATTGTGATAATATTTCCGTCCTTTTCCCTGCAGTGCACACATTTTCCCTTTGGACGGTGTAGAGAAAACTAATAGCATTTTAGCATTTTAGCCCGTCAAATTTTAGAACCGATTGTGGCCCGCGAGTCGCAAACTTTGTCGACCCCTGACTTGACTGACTCGGAATGTGAAAACGGAGCGCGTGTAACAAGTGGCACCGGTACAAACGCGGTCTTAATCACTTCCCGTCTTTTCTTATAACCACAGACAGCTGCAGGTGCTGCGCCCAGCACTTCCTATAGAGGCCGGGCTTTTCTCATTTACACACACACACACACACACAATCTTCGAGGACCAATAAACAACATTTATGACTCCTGGAAAGGCGA